TAAATAAGAACTTTGTAAATAGGATATATAGTGATTTAAAAGATAACTTTTATAAATATAAGTGAAATATAAACTGATCAGAAAAGATGTTATAGGTAGATGTTATAAGATACATAAGCAGTATAATATTTTTATAATGTATGAAACATGAAATCATTAGCATGGTGTATCTAAATGGAAAATCTGGATATTTAGATGGTTAATATTGAGAAAATTATAACTGATAAGAATTGTTTGAATATTAAGGGGAAATTAAGTTTAAATAAAAATTATGAAAATGGAATATATGGTTAACTAATAAGATGATTTTTATAAAAACAACACAAGTTGATAAGAAAAAATGTCATATGTGGACGTTACTATTTGTACAAACATGAAAAATGTTTATATTTATGCATTAAAAAATTCAACTATGGCCTTGTAACCCCAGTGAGTGCTGGCATGCAATAATTCATGTTCTGGGAGAAGGCGTTTCCCGTTCTTCTCCAGCCAATCTCCATGATAAACAGCATCCATTTGATAACTTCTGTGCCTATCCTGTGAAATATATATCGGAACTGGCACAGGCAAATGTGAAGGTACAAGCGCACCAACATACCAAGGGGATGGGACCTGAAGCGGCAGACTTTGTTGTGCAGTTAGCCAAGACATTTCCCTTTCCATGTTTAGTATCACCCTTGCCATGCGCCCTCATGTGCATGATAGCTACCTTGTGCGGGAGCAAAACAGCATCCAGCAACCTTAAAATGTCCTGTCCATATTTAACGGGAGTACCTTGAATGGTGAGCAAACCACACTCCTTCCACAAGACCCCATGTACATGTATAACACTAAACACTGTCTGTAAATATATTAACAACTGCACCATCTGACAATTCCAAGGCAATGAGTTCAGCTTTTTGAACTGAGATACCTGCAGGGAGAGCTACTGCTTCCACTACCTGATCCAATGTGGTCACAGCATAGCTAGCCTGTCTCATAAAACTGCTGCCATCTGTGTACAGGTCTCTATCTCCATCCCCTAGCGGCTGATCAGTTAAATCCGCCGGCCAGAAAACACTTTTGCAATAGTTTGCACACAGTCATGATCACCATCCTGTTCCAGTTGGGGAAGAAAAGTTGCTGGATTGAACCTGCCATTTGATACAAACGTGTGGGTTTTCAAGGAGTGCAATCTGATACCAATCCAGACAAGAGGCTGTAAGCTCTTGGATGCTAAGAAGTCTTGGATGGAATGAGGTGTTTCCACTGTAATAGGAATCCCAAAGGTTAATTGTTCAGCAACCTCCAATAGGAGAATAGGAGCCGTAGCAGTTCGAAGGTATGCCAACCATCCTTGAGCAACAGGATCAAGTTGTTTGGAAAAATAGGCTACTGGGTGAAACCAAGTATCAAGGGTCTGAGTAAGGACTCCAGCAGCAACCCCTTTGCTTTCTGCCACAAACAGACTGAACGGTTTAGTGACATCAGGAATGCCAAGGACTGGAGCATTTATTAAAGCAGTTTTAATGTTATCAAAAGCCACCTGGCAATCCTTGGTCCATTCAAAGAGTTCTTTCTCTGAGCCTGTGGTGGCCTGATACAAGGGCTTAGCCATTATAGCAAAGTTTGGAATCTAGATATTGCAGACACTTGCCATTCCCAAGAAACTCTGAAGCTGGAGCCTAGTGCCAGGTAGTTTAAGAAAGCACATAGCCTGGATCCTCTCCGGGGATAATTTTCTAGTTCCTTATGATAGAATACAACCTAAATACCAAACCTCTTGTCAGACAAGCTGGGATTTAGTACAGGAAACTTTATAGCCCCAATAACAAAGAGAATTTAACAAGGAAACAGAATTCAAGAGGCAATTGCCTTCAGTGGGGGCAGCTACCAGCAAGTCATCGACATATTGTAATACCATAGCAGTGGTGTCCTCGACAGATTGCCATGTGGCTAGACCTGTGGTCAGGACATTGCCAAATGTAGTAGGGCTATTTTTAAATCCTTGGGGTAGAACAGTCCAGCAAAGTTGCCTATGTTGCCATTGAAAAACAAAGAGTAGCTGGCTAAGAGGGGCCAAAGGGATACAAAAGAAAGCATCCTTTAGCTCAATGACTGTGTACCAGGTAAGATGCGGACCTACTTGAGAAATCAGAGTACAGGAGTTAGGTACCATTTGATGCAGTGTCACAGTGATCTGATTAATGGTCCTTAAGTCCTGGCAGAAACGGATAGAGCCGTCCAGCTTTTGGATGGGCCAGATCGGTGTATTATAAGAACTGACAATCTTTCTGAGAAGTCCATAAGGAAGAAAATTAGTAACAAGGGGCTCTAATCCCTGTAAAGCTTCCAGGCTAATTGGATACTGATGAATGGAGATTGGCAGAGCATCAGGACGCAAGGCTACTTCCACCAGAACTGTGTTAATAGCCTGGCCAGGGACCCTGAATATCATACATTGGGATCAACAAAACAATCTAACAGACTGAGGCACTCATGTATCCTCAGGCTAGGAGAGCTGGAGAGTCAGGATGTGCCAGGATTATTCAGGGGGAGCTGACAATTCAACCTGGTCTCCTTGGAAGGAGATGGTTGCTTGAGCTTAGTATCACCCATAGAGCATTCCAAAGGGTCGAGTATTGCAGCTGACATAGATTGGCCACTGGCTCCAGTGACCTGGAAGGTTTGTGAAGGTTTCCAAGAGGCTTATTTAATACTGAATGTGATGCCCCATATCAATCAAAGTGTGGTTTTTCCTCCAACTTTGAACTATACCAGGGGTGCAGAGCAGTGGTGGGATTCAAATATGTGAACAACCGATCCTCTGTATGGATGTTACTTCTAGAAGTCCATTCTGGGCCTGGGCAACAAAAAATTAGCTACCAGTTCTGCTGAACTGGTGCAAACTGGCTGAATCCCTGGTGCAGAGGGAAAAACATCCATAAGGGCAGGGAGACAAAGGCCCTCCCAGCCCCTGACCCCCCCCCCAGTATCTAGAGTGTGGTTGTGGAGCAACACACCCTATAGGACGGTTAGGGAGGGAACATAAAGGACATTCCCTGCTCTAGTGGCCAAATTTCTTACATATACGATACTGTCCTGTCTTAGGGCAAAAGACTGCAGTGGTCAGTCTGGGGGTGCCTGGAATCTGTGTGGCATTGTCCCATTTCTTTCCCAAGGGGACCCTACCACTCCTCGCCATCCTCTTCCGCAAGTCCCACTTCTTCCCCCTCCCACTAGGGGTGCCCATTGTAGAGCTTCAGCCAACAAGACAATGCTCCATTTTTCATCTTTGTTAATCCCCCTGGCTGTCACTTCTGGTCATGCTATGTAGGCCTTATTGGCTACTTCCAACCATTTTCCTATTGTGTCAACTGAAGTCCCCTCCATCTTCTGTAATTTACGCTATATATCTGGGGCACTCTGCCCAATAAAGAGCATGTTCACCAAGTGGAGATTTCTGGAGCTTCTAGGTCCAAATCACTCTACTTCCGAAAGGCTTGGTAGAGGCTCTCAAGGAAGGCTTTCAGATGGCAACTAATGAACATCATAAATTTTGCCCACATTTTTCTATTTAGGGATGGCAGTCTAATGCAGTGACAATAATGTCTTGGAAACCTTTTAAGTAGTCATAGTCTCTGCTTTCATGAGTATCAATGACCTATCTAGGTCAATTTCAGGACAAAGGACCTTCCTTTCTTCAGTTAACTTTTTAGCAGTATTCCCTAACAGACACTTTTCTTCTATTGTTAAAAAGACATCCAGCATGGGTTGGAGGTCTGCCCAATTAGGGTTATGAGTTCGAATAATGGATAGAACCAATTCAGAATATTTGTGCAAGGCTTCAGTGTAAAAACCTAATTGGTCAGATGTGGAGAAGGGAGTATGAGCCAGAACTTTATTAGTGACCCCCTTCCAATTGCTACCTGTTCTGTAAGACGGTAAATCCCCTTATAAAGATACAGCTTTCTGGAAAAATCTATAATGGTGGGGAAAGTATATGGAAAGATAAGAGAAGGAGCTCTTTATTAGGTGTAGCATTGAAAAACTTGAAAGACGATCCGTGGTGACGAACCTATGGCACATGTGCCACAGGTGGCATGCAGAGCCATCCCTATGGGCACGCGCACCATCGCCCCAGAGGGACGCGGGGATGGGTTGCTCCCCTCCCACTCTCATGTGCGCCAGCTCTTTTGCTCTCTTTCTCTGCACCAGAATCAGGGAGCAGCTGCAAGAACTGGGCAGGGAGAGGTGAGAAGCCAGAAACGGTGCAGAGAAAGAGATGTTGAGACAAGCTCAAGGGCCAGGAAGGGAATGGAGAAAAAGATCGCTCTTGCCACGATCTCCCTTCTATTGGCCACTGGGAAGCCTGTAGCACAGCTTGACACGGCAGCACCAGGAAACTCCAGTGTCCCAGACTTGCAAATGAGTTTCAGCACTCCCCAGGTTTTAGTGCGGCAACGGGACGAAACTCAGCAAAGCGCTGAGTTCTCTTCGCACATTTGTGGTGCCTTCCCAAGAATGGCTGCTCCCCTCTGCCTTCCTGTCTCCCCTTAGCTAAGGGTTGCTTTGGCATGGGCAGCTGGGGAAGGGGAGGCCGGGCTTCTCTCGGGGGCGAATTAAGTGCACATTGGAAGGGGAACCTCTGAGCTGGGGGAAGGCAAAGTTAACCCTCCAGCTTGGGAGAGGAGCTTCTTCCTTTCTGCAAGGAGCGACTCCCACCTCCTGCAGCAAAACTCTGCAGGGGTGAGAATTGCGGAGTTTAGGTGGTAAAATGTGCAAGATGATCAAAAGCCCTTCTTAAGATTTATGGGGGGTGGAGGAGGGGAAGGTTGTGTGGAACGTTTGGGCATGGCGATCCGTGCGGGGCTGGAGGAAACGTGGCAGGGCAATCTGTGAAGGGAGTGGGGGGGGGAAACGGCAGCGGTGGCAGGGCGATCTGTGTGGGGGTGGGGGAAATGGCAGCGGCAGGGCAATCCATGCAGGGGTGGGGGTGCAGTCTCACCCAAAAGAGACGAAGCAGCCAGCTAGCAAGCCCTGCGTAGAGGTGCATGCCCATGCCCAGCAGGCAAAAAGCCACCCCAAGCGGAGAAAGCCAGATCCCCATTGGCATCATGGCTGCCCAGGCCCAACAGAGACGGGGGGAGGAGGCATGTAATCCTGGCTGGGACTGGAGAGCCATGGCACCAATGGGGATCCAGCTTTCCCCACTTGGGGTGGCCTTTGGCTTGCTGGGCATGGGCGTGCTCTACCACCTCTGTGGGGGCTTGCTAGCTGACCATTTTGCCTCCTTTGTGCTGGGCAGGCCAGGCCTCTGAGTGGTGGCGGCAGCCTAATGGACCTTCACAAGCTGCCGGACTAAGGCACGGGGGGAAGGGCCAGGTAGGAGGTGCAGATTCCATGTGCGTGAGATTGGGATTTTTTCCCCGCTATTGGATTTTCGCTACCAGACTGTTTAACTTGATGCAGAAAGGCAAGAATATGCATTCTGCATCAAGTAAACTTTTAAAAAGCTAAAGAGTCTGGCAGCAAAAATCCTCCCCCTCCCCCTCCAAGTTGAAAGCGGAGGTACAGCAGCAGGATTGCTCTCAAACAATAAGAGCTGGGTGCATTGGTCCCTCATGTGCGCCCGCCTTATTGAGAGCAATCCGCTGCTGCGCCTCCACTTTCTTCAACTCGGATGGAGCTGAGGAGCCGCTGGTGGCCACTTGAGTGGGGAGGACGAGCTTTGCTGCTGCTGCTGGGCCACACCTGGGCTACGCCCTGCTGCTGCCTCCCAAAGTCCACCTTCACCACTGGATGTGAGCAGCAGCAGAGAGCTCCGTCCTGGGGGAAAGCAGCGGCAGTTAATGATATTAGATAAAAATATGAAAAAGAAAGTTTTTACACAGGAATAAAAGCTATTTACACAGAAATATGTTGCATATATAATAATATGCATTTTCTAATTAATGTATTGTGAGTTGACATCTGGCTAGAATTTATGATAGCCAAAAAGTGAATTATTTTTCCAATTTATGCTCCCCAGAATACATAATTTTATGAGGGTCTAAATTTTTGCTTTCAAAATCATTATATCTTTGTGGTCATATATAATCTCTAAATATATTCTGGTTTGGATACAACCTGCATTTCCAGTCCTTCTGTTCTGTTTCTGAAAGTCCCCAAATTACTTGATCTTCTTTGCCTAGAAAAGAATACTGAAATTAATCTAAATGCACAAAGTAATGACGGTAGGCTATTGTTTCACACACATGCCTGCAAGTGCATGCAACTTGTCTCTCTGTATGTGTGTATACATGCTTATAAACAAAGTTTATCTATCTATCTAGCTTCTAATTCACTGCTCACTCCAGTAGTTTGATTCTGAGTGGCTCAAGGTTGACTCAGCCTTCCATCCTTCCAAGGTTAGTAAAATGAGGACCCAGATTGTTGGGGGCAATATGCTGACTCTGTAAACCGCTTAGACAGGGCTGGAAAGCACTGTGAAGTGGTATATAAATCTAAGTGCTATTGCTATTTATAAAACCAAAAATCAGTCTTAATACACAATTTATACATACGTTAAACATTTGAAATGGCTGCCATTTACTTCTAAACATTTCCTTTCTCATTTGACTCATGATCTTTGAACAGTCCTAATTATAATAACACTTACTCTGAAAAAAATAGAATTAATAAAACATATTGTGAATATCTTTTGGGCCCTATTGTTGGTCACCTTGTATATATAGACAGAGATACACAGACACACAATCAGTGATCAGACATAAATTTGTTAGCTATATACAGTACTTTGGTATGCCAGGCCTTTGACAAAGTCTTTTTCACCCAGTGCCAGGAAAAAAAATATTTTTTTCAGTCACTGGTAGGCTATAGCACTCGATACTTTATATATGTCCAATAGAGAGAGATATCTACTTGGAAAACATCCATCTTTTGCTTTATCTTAGGATAGTACCTATCAATTTGACCGTTGTCTGCATGTTTGTCTGGATGGTTAAAGAATTCAAAGCAGAATCTGAATCTGACGATATTCCCTTCAAGAGAGTTCTAACCTTGACTTCCGGTTCTGGTTCGTGGCGTCACTAGTCGTATGAGGAGACTTCTCTCCTCGTCGGCTAGGTTTCCCTCTGTCGGTAGACCCTTATACGGGTCCAAAGTCGACCTGGAGAGTGCAACTTCCATCGAGGAGGCTGCTGTCCGGCTGTGAAGGAGCGGCGGTTCCTCCAGCTGTCCGGACGAATCTCCGAGGGCCGACAGAGAAGATCGGCCAGTAAAATGGCCGATCGCCCTGCCGCTTCAGACCGTAAGTCAGACAACATCTAAGCTTTGAGTGCCCCTGTGGTGAATCCGGATGAGAATTTTTTCTTATTTTTCCTTTTTTCGACCTTTTTTTGTTTGTGTACCTGTAAGAGCTTTTGAAATTATTTCCCTTGCTTGGAAAGGCGGCTTCTGCTTTCTTTGGGAAGAAAGGCATTTTACAAATACTGAAAGAGTATATTCTACTTTTATTTGAACACTAAAAAGGAAAAAAAGAAGGAAAAGCTTTTCTCTCTCCTTTCTTCCTAAGAACTTTACTATTTCTATTTATATATATATATATATTATACTCTAAAAGACAGAAAAAAAAGAATTGATTTTTGGAAAAGACTTTCTTAACTCACTGAAGGCATCTAGTGGCGAAAATTTAATATTACAACTTTATTTATTCTTCTATTGAATTTCAAAACACTAAAGATAAGCTGTACACCTGTGAAGCTGTGGGGGTGGATGTTTTTACATTAAACAAAGCCTCTACAAAAAAGAAAAAGAGATTTCCTTTTAAGCATTAATATTAAAATGGAGAAACCTCAGATACAACTGAACTGTGCACTTATACTGGAACAGATTTATGAGGCCACTGCAGAAATTTGTGCTACATTTAAAAACTGTACTTTGGAATTAAGATCTAGAGATTCTACTACATTTGCTCAAACTGATGTCCAGGTTACAACTGATCATGGCACAAATCAAAATGTACCAGAAGAGGAATTTACAGAGATAGAAGTGAAATTTATTTCATCTGACAATCCTTTCTTCAGCAACTTCGAGAACCAGAAGAAGCAAAGACTAAGACCTCAAAATACAAAGCAACTATATTGCAAGGAGAATAGAAAAAGACGTTTACTGCAGAGGAAGAGATTTATATTTTCTCAAAGATTACTACAAGCAACAAGAATCGATCTATTGGTTGAAAGGGAAAAAAGATGTTTACTGCAGAGGAAGGGATGTACATTTTCCCAAAGATTACTACAGGCATCAAGAATGGATTTACTGGACTTCCGGTGGATTAGCGGGGGGGATAGCGGCTACTTTGTAGCCGTCCTCCTGAGAAAGCGTTAGAACCGCAGAGAACAGCAGGCATCAGCTGTTCCGTGGCTCAAAACCTCCCTCCCGGGCAAAGGGAGAGAGGGGAGTATCATCTGAATAGAGGTAGAGCCTCTGAGACCCCCAAGGAAGTTTTCTTTTGGGGGTGAAAAGAGTGCTCCCACGGAGTTCAGGTTGTCTTCGCCTCTCAGCTGTCTTTGTCCCTTGGGGACAAAGCAAGACGCTGCTCCCACCTCCGTGCTTAAAGAAACCTGGTGAGTTATTTTAAAAGCAGACAGAGCTGGATAAAGGATTTTATTTTTGATCTTATTTGGACTTTAAGTTTAAAGATTGATTTTTATTTCCCTTTTTTCTTTTATCGAGAGGGAAAGTAAAATGGCGATTAGAAAGTTTTTTTTTTTTTTGAAGGGAGCGGAATGGAACGGAATGGAATAGATTGTTTTTAAAGGTTTTTTTGAGTTGGATTTGTGTTTCAGGAAGATTACTTTCCCTCTTTGCTAAATTCTTTTTTGTTATTTTTTCAAGGGGTTTTTTGGTATTTTTTCTATTTTTTTTTTTTAAGAAGGAGGAAAGAAGAAACAAAACTTTTCTTTTTGAAAATGGCTTCAAGGTGGCAAGCAACATCTACAGTACCTAAGGTGGCTTCTTCTCCTGCGATTCTACCAGCACAACAACCAAAAGCTACACCACCTCCTTCCCCTCCTCTGACATCAGTAATGGTAAAAGACATGCAAGATATAATGGGAAATGCTATATCTCAAATTAGAGGGGAAGTGAAAAAGCTTTTAGTGGAGAATAGTATTATTTTGAGGCAAGACATAGTTGTGGCTCTAAAAGAACTTGCTTTTGTGGTTGAGAAGCTGGATTCTCAAGTGGAAGAAGTGGCAGATAAGGTAGAGGTTTGGAGGAGAAATTTGAAGGCATGGAAAAAAAGATGGAAATTTCACAAGATGATATTGTTATGTCTCAATATAGAGAAATGGAATTCGCTTTAAGAATCAGGGGGCTGAGAGAAGATATGCAACAAGACCTGAGAGAGATTGTAGCAAATGATTTTGCTGTGGTTTTGGATAGAGAAAAAGAGGCAATATCTAGGGAAATTGAAAAAATATTTAGAGTTAACTCCTGGGTTGCAAAGCAAAGAAATTTGCCAAGAGATGTGGTAATTTATTTTGGGAAAAGATCTCTGCGTAATGAAATTATACAAGTTTTTTACAATAAGAGGTTTCAGATTGCTGCACAAGATGTTATAATTCTAAAGGAGATTCCATCTAAAATTTTAAGAAGAAGAAAAGAGTTTGCCTTCTTAGCTGATGAACTTAAGAAAAGGTTGATGCCATTCAGATGGGAGATTCCGATTGGCATAGTGGTGAGTAATGCGGGGACGCGTTACAGACTTAATACTGTTTCTAAAGCAAAGGAGTTTTATATGTCGGTCCTGGGAGCACGCTCATCACCACCTATGATGATGAAAGTTTTGGATGGCAAGGAGGCAGAACAGCAATCTGAAGAAGTAGTATTGATGGAAGCTGGAAAATTACAGGCTGAGTGGTTGCAACAAGCAGGGATGAAAGAGCAAAGGATGACCCGGGCAGTCCACAGACATAAGGAAAAGGAACAACAGAAGAAAGATGTTAAAGAAGTTTTACAATAATTTGTTTCTGAGCCTGTGGGAGGAGGAAGACCCAAGAGTTCTGCAGTACAATCTTCATTGGCAGATCTTCAAGCAGTCTTCTCCAGGCTTATGGCCAAGGGAGATGGTAAAGCTCCTGACATGGAATGCTAATGGCCTCAATTCCCCTCAGAAGAGAAAGAAAATATTTCACTATTTAAAGCAACATAACAATGATATTATTTGTTTACAGGAAACACATATTAATTCTAAGAATCAAAAATATTTAGTTAACACCCGACTGGGATCTCATTTTGCATCTTTTGCTCTTGGGACAAAAGGGGGTGTAGTTATTTATGTTAAGCAAAATTTATCAGCTTGTTTAGTAGATTCTGATCCTCAAGGGAGATATGTCATGATTGAAGTGGGACTGTATGGTAAGAGAGTACTTATAGTAGGTTTGTATGCACCAAACCAACAACAGGAACAATTTTACAGACTGCTACATCAAAAATTGACTTTGCTGGACTATAGATCTGTTATATTAATGGGAGAGTGGAATGGTGTTTTAGATACACAAAGAGATAAAAAAGGATCTTCTATTTCTTTTAAACAGGCTAAATTACCTAAGGCTTTTTTTGATTTGAAAGAGGATTGGGAGTTGAGAGACTATTGGCGTGAACATAATTTGGAGGAGAGAGACTTTACCTTTTTCTCGGACAGACACCAATCTTTTTCAAGAATTGATTTTTTTTTTATTACAACGGACTTATATTTTAGGGTAAAGAATGCTAAGATTTTTCCTAGAACATTGACGGATCATAGTCCAGTTTGGATGGAATTGGTTAATGAAAAAGAGGAGAGGAGATCTTGGAGGATGAACGAAAATTTATTTAGACAAGAAAAGAATGTTCAGAAATTAAAGGAGCAATTAAAGGAATACTTTGTTTTAAATATGTATAAGGGAACTTCAATGCCAATGGTTTGGAATGCAGGTAAAGCTTACATGCGGGGGGTCTTGATACAAATGAATAAGGTTTATAGACAGAACCAGGTGCAGAAATGCAAGGAGTTGGAAGAGAAGATTAAATTAAAAGAAAAAGCCTTAATTGTGAATCCTACAGATGAGAAGATTAAAGAATCTATAAAATTGATTAAATCACAATTTAATATGTTGATGGCTGATCAAACAGCAACCAACTTATTGTATATGAAACATAATACATTTTGCAATGCTAACAAACCAGGGAGATGGTTGGCTTATCAATTGCGAAAGAAGCAGAGGTTGAGGACTATAGATAAAATAAATTATAATGGTAAAGTGGTATATCAGAAGGAGCTGATTAAGAAATCTTTTTTAGACTATTATAAAAAATTATATATGGGAATGAAAGTACAGGCTTCAGATATAGATAAATATATACAAGATGCTCACTTCCCTAAATTAACAGAAGATCAGAAACAAGAAATTAATGGTTTGATCACCACTGAGGAAATTGAGATAGTAATTAAAGAATTAAAATTAGGTAAAGCACTGGGTACTGACGGACTGACATCTGTTTATTACAAAACCTTGGTAGAAGAGTTGAAACCACCTTTAAGAGAACTTTTTAACAATATATTACAGGGTTCAGAGACCCCCTTGTCATGGGGCAGAGTTTTCATATCTTTGATTCCAAAAGAAGACCAAGATCTCACATTACCAAAGAATTATAGACCCATATCTCTTTTGAATGTAGATTATAAGATTTTTTCGAAAATCTTAGCTAACAGACTTATGAGGGTGTTAAAACAATTAATACATATGGATCAAACGGGTTTTATAACTGGAAGGTATATGAAGAATAATGTTAGATAAATTAGTAACTTAATAGAATATTTGGATAAAAACAACCAAGTTTCTGCAGGATTGATATTTTTAGATGCTGAAAAAGCTTTTGATCAGTTAAATTGGCAATTTATGTTAAAATTAATTGAGGAAATGAATTTTGGAAAAAAAATTTTACAAGCTCTTCGTGTTATTTATCAAAAACAAATGGCACAACTTATAGTTAATGGAGGTTTGTCAGAGGTGTTTTCAATTGAGAAGGGGACCAGACAGGGTTGTCCATTGTCACCATTGCTGTTTGTTCTAACTTTGAAAATTTTGCTGATTAAAATTCGGGAATCACAGAAAATAAAAGGAATAGAAGTTAATAAAAAAGAATATAAATTAAGGGCTTTTGCAGATGACTTGGTTGTTACTTTATCTCAACCAACTTACTCTGTAATTGAATTGTTACAACTGATACACCAGTATGGACAAGTTTCGGGTTTTAAAATTAATAACAATAAGACTAAAATATTGCTTAAAAATACGACTAATTTGGATAAGGAGACTCTAGTTAGGCTGACAGATTTTGAGGTTGTTCATAAGGTAAAATATTTGGGGGTTATCTTATCTGCTTCTAATGCAAAACTGTATAAAAATAATTATGAAAGGCTGTGGGTTAAAATACAAAAGGATTTGGGAAATTGGAAGAAGCTGCAATTGTCCCTATTGGGGAGAATTGCAGCGATTAAAATGAATGTTTTGCCAAAGTTTCTCTTTTTATTTCAAATGATACCTATTTTAAAGAATGAGGTTAACTTAAATGAATGGCAGAAAGGTATCAACAAATTTATTTGGGCAGGGAAAAAACCAAGAGTAAAACTTAAAATTATACAAGATAATAATAATAATAATGTTAAACCTTAATTTCTTTCAATTCATTACACAAACTTCAAATTCCATCCAATATGATCTGATAAGGTTGTATGGAATGGTTTGGATAAAAGAATCTTGGGTCTATGGATTGTATTAAGGATAAAAATATATAATCATACACACACACACACACACACACACACACAGCCATCCACAGGCAGCAGTCACAACTGTGCATGTTAGGCAGCTGTATTAACCTCTAGGCCACAGGCTCTGTCTCACTTTTGCCAGCTATGTTAGGGAGGGAAGAAACAGGGAGGAGTTATTCTGGTGGTGATTCTGTCTACCCCACATTTTTCTATCTTAGGTTGTGATCTACTTTATCAAATGCCTTACTGAAGTCCAAGTAAATTATGTCCACAGCATTCCTGTGATCCACTAATTTTGTCACTTAGTCAAAGAATGCAATAAGATTTGTCTGACATGATCTATTTTTGACAAACCCATGTTGGCTTTTAGTAATGACTTTGTTTGTCTCTAGGTGTTCATTGATTCGTTGTTTGATTATCTTTTCCAGGATCTTCCCAGGTATTGAGGTCGGGCTGATAGGTCTGTAATTTCCTGGATCCATTTTTTTTTTCCTTTTTTGAGGATGGGAACTACATCAGCTCTTTTCCAGTCCTCTGGTAGTTCCCCTGTGTTCCAGGATTTTTGAAAAATATAGTTCAGAGGTTCCGATATCACATCTGCCAGTTCCTTGAGAACTCTGGAGTGTAATCCATCTGGTCCTGGTGATTTGAACTCATCTAGGCTGGACAGGTGCTCACTTACCATTTTCTTGCCTATCTTAACTTGTGTTTCTATTTTGTTTTTTTATGGCACTATTTTTGATAGGTTGGTCTGTTTTTTCCCTTTGTGTAAAGACAGATGCAAAAAATGAGTTAAATAGTTCTGCTTTCTCCCTGTTGCTTGTCACCTTCTTGCCACTTCTTATATTATGCCTGTATATATCAACCAATTACGCAAAAAATGAAGCATATTTCTTTCTTGATTCTTTCCTGGTTTTTTCCTGCTATTGTCTTTTATAAGTAACCCTTAACTTATGACCACAATTGAGCCCAAAATTTCTTTGGCTATGCAAGACAGTTGTGAAGTGACTTTTGCCCCATTTTATGACTTTCATTGCCACGTTTGTTAAGTGAATCACTGCACTTGTTAAGTTAGTAACATGATTGTTAAATGAATCTGGCTTCCCCAGTGACTTTGCTTGTCAGGTCGCAAAACTGATCACATGATCCCAGGACACTGCAACCATCATAAATATATGCCAGTTGCCAACCATCTGAATTTTGATCACGTGACCATAGTTATGTTGCAATGGTTATAATATAAGCTATCTCATTTGGTATTTGTATAAATGCAGATAGGGCAGATAATAGTTATGAATATTTATCTGTTATGTAGTTTATCTAAACTAAAGACTGAATCAAACTAATCTAAACTAATTTAGAGTATTTAAAAGTCATGTCACTTTTTTCAGTGCCATTGTAATTTTGAAAGGTCATTAAACAAATTATTGTAAGTAGAGGACTACCTGTATTAAATGCATGTGTTGGACAAGTTTTCAAAATGGGAAGTTCTAAACTGGTGGGTATAATGTGCAGCTAACTCTTATCTGAGGAATATTTTCTCATGAAAATTCTATGAGGAAAAAAAAGGCAAAAAAAATTACCTGAAAGCATGGGAAAAGGTATCACTGAAAATGCAGTAGATAATGGGGTTGACAGCGCTGTTTAAAGCTGGCAGATTCTGAATAATCACTGCTGCATAGAAGCGTTCTTGAGTTTCTGGAAGGATGCTGAAGTTATCCAGAATATCAAAGAGAAAATAAGGACTCCAGCAGACCACGAATGCTGGAATAAATTAATAAGAAAAAGGTTCTATATTATAAGCTGCCAATACCATTTTGCTCAGATCTCTCATCAACAACTTCTTGAGCATTAAAGATGAAAAAAAATGATGGGGGTTCTTTTTAGTGTGAGATGTGGCCATTCTTAACGATTTCAGCATAAGCTCTGGTTACCAGGAGTCCTCATTTAGCAATTGCTTCAGATAGCAATCATTCAAAAATATGATGGTAATAAATGGTAGAAAAAAATTCCAATCAACGTATCCACTTATGCCCAAATTTTTGTGCCTGACAATGCAGATTATAGTGAGCTGGTATTTCTGCATAAGAGAAGTTTATCTAAATAAGGTGGAGCAATCAGTGAGCTTTACAGCGTCTTTCTTGTGATTTGCTTGGTATCTATTTTGTCAGAATATACTGGCAAAGGAGGATTACTTGTATTAGTAGCAATCTTCTGGAGATTTGTGGACAACAGAAAGTGTGCAAATATAACAATCTCAGTTGAAGATCCTGTTAGCAAAGAGACGTCTAAGAAAATAATGTGCTATACAGAATACTTTAGCCCCTTTATATTCATCTCTCAGAAGTAATCTCTGCAAACAGAACATCCAATAACATCAATAATAATCACATAAAGCACAAATGTACATTTAATCAAATCATTATTAAATGGTAGGGAGTACTTTTTAATATGTACTCTAGGTTAATAATTATGAGATTAATACGATTCTCAACTCCAAGCCAGGTATTTTGTTAGCTTACCTGTGATAGATAACTATAGCAAATAAATTAAAATGCAGCTAAGAGAAAAAAAATCATACAAATTAGTTGTGGACTTCTCCCCTTTTAGTTCCTAGGTGTAGCATATATGAAAGAAAAAAGAGAGGAAATTGTTTTGAAGAAATCTTTTAATTTCAGCTATATATGCTACTAATATTCTCATCCCCATAATTTTTAATTGGACAAAACAGTGCATCAAAGGGCAAAAATTTTAAATCAAGGTACCTGAATGGGATAACTTAGAAAAAAATATCCAAAATTCAGGACAAATTTTATAAAACATTTTATGACATAAAATTATAGTGAAATAGTTTATGACATTAAACAAAATGCCGTTAAAACAGTTCAGCATGGATTATTTTCAAGGCAGAAAGATCTCTGAATGTATCCTGTCTTTTCCAATGAAGGCAGTAAGATGTTCTGTGAGGCAGGCAGGCAGGAAAGTCATGGATTGTCTAATTAAATATTTTTTGGTAAATTACTGAATATAAGTGTAAGATTGAGTTTCTGGTGACACAGCAGTATTGTAGGTAAAGTCTGCCCTCATGGCAATTCAATCCTGACATCCTTCCAAGGTCGGTAAATGAGAACCAGATTGTTGGGGCCAATATGCAAATAGTGCTCCTACGTTATAAACCATCCAGAGAATGCTGTAAGGCGCTATTTGGTGGTATATAAGTCTAAATGCTATTGCTATTCTTAACAGATAAGTGAGGACTGGGTTTTCCGATTCTATGTACAACTAGTGAGTATGGGGAAAAAAGAAATTAAATATAATACAGATAACACCAAAATCAGGTCTGACTGGTGAGAAGAGCAGGGGACAAGAATACTTGGTGCTCTTTTTATGACTGAAGCACAAGATCATTAGCTATATTTGCCATCAATAATTCTTAGGAAACGGTTAATAGCACCTAATAATCACAAATTGTGTGTGATTTGAAGGATTTTCATACAATGCAGCTCAATTGGGTTACTAGGAGAGCTTTGGTGAGGGTACTTCCATCAAATGCAGTTTCATACTGGGCTTATCTTGGCAAAGTAATAATTCAGAAAATTTAAAATGCATTATTTTTCCTGCATTCTTTTGTATAAAAAAAATCACACTCTCTGCTTGCAAGCAGTGAAAACCAATTAAAAGTTCTGATTTTTTTCCGGACTCATGGCAAAGGATTAAGATTAAAAAAAATTGTATTATCTCCTGTCTTTTGAAGGTTTTCCTATGAAAAAGGTTTGCTGTGCAGACTGGCAGGGACTATGATAGATTTTCATCTCCAAATCCCCCTCTTGCTTTTTAATAACTGCTCTGTTTTACATTTTAATCAGAAAGGAAGTAAATAAGTTGCTGTTGTAAAGGCATGGGTCTAAATAAAGATGCAGTACATACAAATATAAGATACTCCAAATCAGTAGTTCAGGCTGGTGCAATACTATATCCACATATTCAGCAGATGGTCTGAAGAGAAGTTGCACTCACATGGGATCAATAAAAAGTGATGCCTTTTTTTGGCTGCAACCAAAACAAATCTTTACCAATGTTTAATCAACTGGCACATGTTACCACTTACCAAGAATAACTACGACACTGTATTTGATAGCCTTGATTTTTGCTTTTGATATAAGACCTCGATGGCTGTAACTTGCACAGAATTTACCATCTGCAGAAAAAAAGATCCCCCCCCCCAAAAAAAAAACATATTATATAGGCACAGTGGGAATGGGGAACCATTTCTTACATCTGCAGTTTAATTAAATTCCAGATCAGTACACAGATGAAATTTATTTAGCCCCAAATTTACTGCTTTCTAATCTTAAAAATACTTCTAAATGAGAAATTGCTGTTGCCTCTCTTGTGAAACTCAACAAAATATAATTTAGCAATTTTGATTTTGTAATTGAGATTCTAAATTAAATATATCTTGCTGCAAGTATCCAGTATTATGTTGTTACACAACTTCCACCAACTATGTACTCGACAGATGTACTAAACTTCAAGTCAAGACTGCTAACATCGGACGTTCTTGCTTCACAACAAATAAAGAAGCAAACCTGTTTTATTTAACCTGTATATCACTTCTAGAGTTAAAGTCAAACAATGTTAGAATAGCGGGTGGGAAAGTATGTAATTGGGGAATAGATAGCCACAACCATATCTCAGTATAGTATTTCCAAGGTCAGATGTAACTAGGGGAGTTGCGGGAGGGAAAGTTCGCACTTCAAACTAATTGGAGAACTTGATTGATGACTGTTAAATGAAGGAGTGAGTTATGCTTTGTTATGGGTGATTGGGGGAGGGAGGATTCAGTTTTTGGCTTCATTGTGTACGTGCTGAAGCTATATAGCAATAAAAGGATTCTTTAAGGTAAACAAAGCCTCAAAGTTCTTTGAAAAGCTGTTTCTTTAACTCTGGATCTTTTTATTATCCTTAATAAAACAGAAGGTAAGAATTATTAAATATATGGAAATAATCCTATGCATCTATCGAAATTTTTTTTTCTTATTCTGCCTAAATTCTTGGAGTGTGTCTTTTGGCTCAAGAAAAATTGTGCATATCTTTTTAGCAGTAGTTTTTAATATGGCAATCAATCATGACATACCAACAAATATAGCAATTCTGAATTTTGAAATTCAAGTTCATATTTAAAATAAAAAGTTGAAATTTTCTTCATAATTTTTTCATTTTAAAAAATAAGTGGCAAAAGAAATAGCCAACTTTTAAATATTTGGATTAAAAAATAGTATGGCTAAATAGTTATTATGGATTGTTTTAGTAGCTGGTGCTACAATGTGGGCATAGCATAGCAGGTTTTGACAATCACCACTCATGCTGCTACATTCTGGACTAGTTGTAGCTTCCGACTGATCTTCAATTGCAGCCCCACTGTTGTACACACTGCAATAGTCTGCTTGCAAAGGGACCAAAACATAGTGACCAGGAGTAAGGCTTTTAATTCAGGCACAGCCTAAACCTGTGCAAAGATATTCCTGGCCAGAGCAAGCCATCCAGATTGTGCAGTAGTCTTGAGCAGAGCAGAGCATATCTTATTCAGAACCAAGGAGGGGGAGGAGGAGAGAAGGATTCATAGCCACTCAGTTTTGCTATTTTGCAAAATTTTGCAATTTTGATCATGAAGTCTCAACATTGTCCGGGCACTGAGATAAAACTTAACATTGCTTGGTCAGCTGGGTTCAGGATGAATAATTCAATATCAGAAACATACTGAATATGCTAATGATGCTTGACTCCAACCAATAAATAACTGCCCTAGTGGCCTCATTAGAAGTTCAATGGGAGGAGAGAGAATATTACATTCTGAAGCACCCACAGATCAGAGGTTTTAGATTCAACCTCTCTCCTCCAAGCAACACTAATAGAAAGAAAAAGAATTAGAATATTGTGCCTCCCATTCCCTGCAACTAGCCCAGAAGGGTACTATTGCTGAAAGTATTTGAAAGCAAGGAGGGGCTAGATCAGTGGTGGCGAACCTATGGCACGCATGCCAGAGGCGGCACTCAGAGCCCTCTCTGTTGGCACACGAGCCACCGCCGCCAGCAGCAGGTCCATCAGGCCATCACCACTGCCCGGAGCAGAAGCCCCGCCCAGCACAAAGCAGGCGAAGCGGCTGACTAGCAAGCTCGAGCAGAAGTGGTAGAGTAGAGGTCGATTGGTGGACTGGAAGAAAAGGGAGGGGGAAACATTTTACATGTGTGCATGCATGGGGCCACAAACTGCAAATGAGGCAGTGCTAGTGCCTGCATGGTACTCACTAACCCTGCCCCATTCTTGCATGGTGCAGTGCCTTGTATCTGCATGCCGTGGCACAGTGGTGGCCATTTTTGCACCTTGTAGCACAGTGGCCCATTTTTGCACCCCAGTTTTTGCATGCCAGAGGCGGCACTCAGAGGTGCCTCCCTGCCCCTCCCCTGAGGGCACCACAGTGCTGATGGGCCCCTGGCACTTTGCGATAAATAAGTGGGTTTTGGGTTGTGGTTTGGCCACTCGGTCTCTAAAAGGTTCACCATCACTGGGCTAAATACTAGTATTATCCCCATTCCAGTTTCCCCGTAGTTCAATGTCATCTCCATATTACATCCAGATCTGAACTGTTACTGAAAAGCCTGCATATAACCAGTTTCTTTTAAGTCCTTTGTAATTGACCACCTTATCAACAATCTTCCTTAAAAAGGAAATGTTCAAACCTGGATAAAAATTGTTTCAGTCTACATACAATCTGCCTCCTTACTGGTGAATTAATGTCTGATTTTAATGCCATAAGTTTCAATTGCTCCCAATTACTTACCAGAACAATTAGATACAATTACAGCATGGGCTTTACTCTTAACCCATATTGTCCGAATCACAATGAAATAAATAACACTAGAAGAGGAACAAAAAACAAATGATTAGCTTTGTGTGAAACTCAAGAATTGTAGTTATTACTGCAATTTCATCAATGTTGTGTGTATTATAATTTTGATACTAAGTTCTATTGTAGTTAGAGATTTATTAAATAAATGGGAACATATTCCTGATTAATTGAAGAACTACCAATTTCAATCAATCTATTTCAAATGTACTTCTAGGGTCAACCCTTCATATATAATAGGAAAAACTAATGATTTTCAATTTTCTATTTCAAGAAAACATGTATATTAGACTTTGCCTGAATAGTTCATTAAATCCAATTATCTTACTTTATGACATGTACTTTATATTGGAAATTTATAATAAATCTATTGCCCTTTTCTAGATTATGAAGATGTATGGATTGTTTTTCTCTGTATTGTAAAACTAGACGTTATTATAGTTTGCATTTCTTTGCCTTTTGCTTTCTTTTCAGATATCACAGTATATCATAGCGCTGGAATCCTATCATGACATTCTGTCAAAAATGCTTACAGATATTCCTCAATGTACAACCATTCCTTTAGTGATTGTTCAACGTTACAATGGCACTGAAAAAAGTGATTTATGGTCAATCTTCACACGTACATTACAGCACCCCCACAGTCACGTGATCAAAAGTCAGGCAAAATTTAAGTAACCAGCAATCACTAAGTTTATTTATGACAGGGTCCCTGGATCATGTGATTTCCATTTGCAATCTTCCCAGCTAGCCCCTTACAAGAAAAGTTAATAGAGTTTGCTTAATAATCACGATTTGTTTAATGACTGCAGTGATTCACTTAACAACTGTGGCAAAAAGATAGTAAAATCAAGTATGACTCACTTAACAACTGCTTGCTTAGCAAGGGAAATTTTGGTCCCAATTGTGGTTGTAGGTCAATAACTGCCTGTTTTTGTCCTTTATAGCTTAATGAAAGTAAATGTTTTGCATTTTGATGACATCCTGTTTGCGGATGATAGGACAAGAAATGCATATTCCAAGGTATTTCTATGCAAGTCCTTTAACAGAAATACCTTGGAATATGCAGGAGCACATATGAAATATTTATCATTTGAACTGTTACAGCATATTTCCCATCTGCTTCAAAGCTGCTTCTGGTTCCAATGGAATATTGTTGACTGACTAGGCCAGAAAGTTTTTTCCAGCTAGAAGATTTTGCAGTTTTCAAACAGGGAACACTATTCCTAAATTTGTATGACAATCCTGCATTAGGGAGAGTCCCAGAATCATGTCACAAGATCCTCCAGAGAGCAGCAGTTTGCAAGGAGTCTGTAACAGTGCTTCAAAGTTGCCAGTTGAGTCATCCAGCTGGGAGGTGGAAATATAGCCACTTCACAGTTGAAAAAGCAGCCATTTAGGGGGTTTATTTTCAAATGGAAAATAAGTTGTGCCTTCTGCTTCTTAAACATCTTATCTGATTATTATTTTTACTAAACTAAAAGAGGCTCTTTTCAGTCACAGCATATTGATGTGCTTTTCTAATTTTGAAAAGAAACATAAGGAATTAAAAATCTTTTGTTTTGTTTTGCCATTTCATGCTCTTGACACATTTATTTCATGTTGAAAATTCTAGTTTACAATTTTAGATTGGAAATTTTGGATTGGATTTTTGGATGAAAATTTTGGAGGTTAATTTTTTTTATTTTAATGGATTCTGATTGGCCAAGAGATACCAGCTGACCTATAAAAACTTTTTTAAGATTTATCCTTTTATTTCAAGATTAGAAGAAGATGAAATTCATAGAACAACATAGAAGAAGGAATTTAAGCCAGACAATTTGAAAATCACTTTGAAGGAGTATTGAAGTAATTCACTTTATAGATCAACTGTAATCCAAATATGTCATGAAAGAGGAGCAGGAAGAACAACTTATTCAAGTAATTGGAAGGAAGATGTCTAATCCAGAGATACAACCAAATGTAAAAAGTCATTAAACCTATGAGGTTACTGCACAAGTATTTGACATTACAAAGAATTATATTTTTAGAAAATAAATCTGACACCAACAATGCCTATTACAAAGATGCTTCAATTTCTAATCCACCAGTGCAACTGAAAGACGAAGAGCTGCAAGTGGGTCTACTATCATCAAGAGAACAAGTTCTGGATTTCACTTCAAAACCAAATGGAAACCCCAATGCTGACATATTTGTTTTGAAAGTCATATTTCAGATTCTCTTGAGAAAAACAGAAGTTAATATTTATCCAATAGACATTCTGAAAAAGAGTCCATTTTATGAGGTTAAGTGGGAGGGAGTGACTTATGTTCAATAAGCTAATTGGAGTTAGGATGGATTTAATTCATCTTGCACAGATGTCAACCCTGTAATTACAGCCTAAATGAAAACCTAAATATAAGTTCCTAACTCCAGATAAAAGGCCCTCATTAGTCTGACTTAGAGTGTCACTCTCTTAAAAAAAGATTAAAGCTAGGTCTGCGTTCAGCACAGAACTAGCTGAATATATAGCTAGCATTTAGACAAGAATACAAGAAAACCATTAAGTGCAAGAAATCTCACAATTTGTTCTCTCTGGTTAAATTTAGAGTTTAAAACCCAATACCAGCCTTTTTCTAGCATTCAGTTGCCTACCCAATGAACCCAATGGGCAGAATGTAGGGAAGATGTGCTAGGGGCTACTGCAGCATCCCTCCAAGGGCAAGTGGATGCCAAGCACCTGAATTTTGTTCATATGGCAGCAGGGCAACCTCAGGCAGTGATTGTAATTTCTTCATTCAGTGCCACTGTAATTTTGAACAGTTGCCGAATGAACAATCGTAAGTCAAGAACTATTTCTATACCAATTGTTTATTTTACCATGTAAAACAATAGTAGAGACTTAGGTATTTAGAAGAAAAAATATTTTAACAGGGAGGGAGGGAGGGAGGGAAGGAAGGAAGGAAGGAAGGAAGGAAGGAAGGAAGGGAGGGAGGGAGGGAGGGAGGGAGGGAGGGAGGGAGGGAGGAAGGAAGGAAGGAAGTATTGTGTAGTGGGTTTCGTAGGCAATAACCAGACTGGCATGGTACAACAGTATTTATTAAGTCAGAACAGAACTGCTTAAAACCAGCAAAATGCTTGCAATTTATACTTTCCACCTCTAGGGCATCAGCCAATAACAACATTAGCTCACTCCCACCTAAACTTGAATTTTTGAACTTCCCTCCAAAACAGTTGGAGGTTCATTAGTATCATAATGCATTAAGATTAGTACTTAATACATAACATCCCTCTCCCCTAGGATAGTTGTTATCCTACTTGATTATAGTGTATAGTCCTCAAGGTAGGCTGGGGGCCTGCGGATTCAGGTGGACCGCTGTAATGTCAATTGGGAGTCCTGATTGACTGTTTAATTGTCCATCCCTGGTTGACTCTTGGCGTGATGGCCATTTAGGTCATCTGATGGGAGAGATGATTCTACGACCTGTGGGCCTCTGTTTCAGCAGAGGCGGCTCGGGCAGGTGTCGGCAATTTCAGATAGTCACCCGGTGTGTCTGACTTCCTCTTGGACTCCTCTTCTGGGATTGGCCCAGCCTGCCGATGCCGTAATTGATCAATGTGGCATCTGACCACACGACCATTTTCCAAAGCTACCTCATAAGACAATGGCCCTGATATCTTAGTCACTCTAGCACAGTGGTTCTCAACCTGTGGGTCCGGACCCCATTTGGGGTCGAACGACCATTTCACGGGGGTCGCCAAACAATGCAGTCCGCCATTTTTTTCCCCTTTTCCTTAGCTGTGCTACTCCCTTTTATTCTATTGGCTTTTGAAAGCCAATAGAATAGACTCTCTTGAATAGAGTCTAATTCTATTGGCTTTCAAAAGCCAATAGGAATTGTCCAGGCTGTCTCTGCCCTGCTGAGCCCGCCAAAAGTCCCATTCTGCAAACGGTGCTGCACCAGTTGAGTAGTCCTCGACTTACGATCAATTGAGTAGTCCTCGACTTACGACCGGTTGGGGGGGTCGTGGCATTAAAAAGGTTGAGAACCACTGCTCTAGCAGCAACTCAGGGTACTCCCTGCCCATAGTTTCTGGTCCATATCAGTTCTCCCAGCTGTAGGTTCCTGGGGGGCTTGGGTTAAGCTGTTTCTGCTGCTGTCCTGTCAGGGTGGAGTCAGTCGAGCTTAGTTGTGAGCCGGCAGCCCCACCTTAGTTCTGCAGGGTTGCGACATGTTGCAGTGCTAGGGGTTGTGTGCTGGCACAGAAGAAAATTTGCCAGGTGGTGATTCCAATCTCCCATTGTTATCTGCTTGAGCAATTCCTTGGTGGACCTCACCATACACTTGGACTGACTGTTGGAAGCGGGGTGAAAGGGAGCAAAAGTTGCGTGCTGTATCATGTTGGTGTTTAGGAAGGATTGGAATTCAGCCACCATGAATTGTGCCCCATTATCGGACACTATGACGTCTGGCAGACCATGTGTGGCAAAGAGCCAGCGTAGCTCTTGGATGACCCTAGCTGTGGTCATCGGTGGGACAGGTACCACTTCCAACCAGCTGTCCACAACAATGAGGAATAACTGTCCACAACAATGAGGAATACCTGTCCGTGGAAGGGGCCCGCAAAGTCAATATGCAATATGCGAGACCATAGGGCGTGCATGGTCTCCCAGTGGTGCACTGGTGCTTGGGGCATCTCTGGATGGGTCTCTTGGCAGACCTGACAGCTCCTTACTTGGGTTTCAATGTCTTTGTCTAAGCCTGGCCACCACAAATAACTCCTGGCTAGAGCCTTCATCCTCATGATTCTGGAGTGCCCCTCATGTAGGGAATCCAGCACCCTGATTTGAAGACTAGGTGGAAGAATGATCCTGCTGCCCCATAGCACACAACTCTTGTGGGCTGACAGTTCATCTTTCTGGCACAGGTAGTGCTGGAACTCGGGGTCTGGCTGAATTTCTGGCCAGTCCCTCAACACCCAGGTAAGAACGTGCTGAGCATTCTGTCTGTGGCAGTTTCAGTGGCCACATCCCGTGTGTATGGGTGTTTCTGGTAGGTCCTGGATTGCCAGGATACATGCTGCCGGGGCTGGGGAAATTGGCTGAGCGTGTCAGTGTGGCCCATTTCCTTCCCTGGCTTGTGGACTAATCTATACGAATAGGTAGCCATGAAAATTGACCATCACAGCATCCGTGGTGATAGTATCTGTGGAGTTTGCTTGTCAGCCATAAAAAGGCCAAGCAGCAGCTTGTGGTCTGTGAAGAAGGTGAAGGGTCGCCCATGTAAGAAGTCGTGGAACTTCTTAATGCCTGCAACAATGGCGAGGGCTTCTTTATCAATTTGTGCATAGTTTCTCTCAGCAGATGATAAAGTTCTTGAGTAATATGCAATGGGTGCCTCACGACCATCTGCATTTGATGGTTTAGCACTGCCCCAATGCCATCGGGCAAAGCATCGCAGGTGTTACTGGCAGTTTTTCATTAGCTGCTTGAGGAGCTTGAGGAAAGCAGCGACTTGACCATCTTAAATGCCCTATTGGGGGTGATTGACCAGACCCAGGGCACTTTTTTGTCCAGTAGATGGTGAAGTGGTTCTGCCAGGGCAGCCTTGTGTGGCAAGAACGAGTGGTAGAAATTCAGCAAGCCTAGGAATGCTTGCAGTTCCCCCTTAAATTTGGGTCTGGGGGCTTGTTGAATTGCCTTTAACTTGGTCTCTGATGGGTGGATTCCAGCAGCATCTATTTGGAACTCTAAGAACTCTGTGGAGTCCACGCCAATTTGGCACTTGTCTTTTTTTAGTTTTAATCCTGCCTCACGGAAACATTGAAGTACTGCCCTGAGGCATTCCGCCAGGAATACCTCTGATTCTCCTGTGATCAGGACGTCGTCAAAGTATGGGCAGATGCCTGGTATGTTTTTAAGTGCCTGTTCCATGATGCTTTGGAACAACCCGGGGGCTACACTTACCCCAAACTACAGGCGGCACACTCAGAATGCCCCTCTGTGTGTGACGGTGGTTTGTGCCTCAGCGGTGGCATCGTTGACTGGCAGCTGCTGGTATGCCTGGGCAAGGTCTAATTTCACAAAAATTTGGCCTCCTTGAAGCAAGGCGAGTATGTGGCTTACCACCGGAACTGGGTAAGCATGTTGCTGTAGTGCAGCGGTTCTCAACCTGTGGGTCGCGACCCCATTTGGGTCGAACGACCATTTTACGGGGGTCGCCAAACAATGCAGTCCACCATTTTTCCCCCTTTTCCTTAGGTGTGCTACTCCCTTTTATTCTATTGGCTTTTGAAAGCCAATAGAATAGACTCTCTTGAATAGAGTCTAATTCTATTGGCTTTCAAAAGCCAATAGGAATTGTCCAGGTTGTCTCTGCCCTGCTGAGCAGCCAAAAGTCCCATTCTGCAAACGGTGCTGCAAGTTGTCTGCAGCGAAGGCGAGCTGTCTGGAAGTTTCCACCGCTCCCTGCTGAGCAACTACTAAAAATGCAAATAAAAGAGAGCCAGGGTGGGAGGTGGGAGGCTGGCAGGCGCAGGGAGGGTTGCTGGTGTGCATGGGGCCCGGCGGGTGCTTTACCTCCTTTGGGCTGGGCCAGCTGGTGGTCGGCCTGCTCTGTCTCTGCCACTTGCCAGCTACGCCTCGGCCGGTGCAGGAGGTGGCACCACACATGCGTGGCGCTTCCGGGCAGGGAAAGTTCTTGACTTACGACCAGTTGGGTAGTCCTCGATTTATGACCGGTTGGGTGTCGCGGCATTAAAAAGATTGAGAACCACTGCTGTAGTACCTTGTTTATTGTGCGAACATCCCCATTTGGCTTCACTGGGGTCACTATGGGAGTCTCTCACAGGCTACTGTCCACTGGTTGGAGCACTCCTTGTTGCACCAGTTTGTCCAGTTCCATGTCAATCTTTGACTTTAGTGCGAAGGGCACTCTGTGCGGTTTCACTCGGATTGGACTGACTGCAGGATCAATAATGAGGGAAATGGGCGCCCGTCTATATTGTCCCAACTCTGTGCTGAAAACATCAGCATAATGTTGGCAAACTGCTGCTAGGTCAGCTGTTTGTTTGCAGTGGATATCTGTCACACTGATGCCCAGGGCTTCGAACCAGTCCAGTCCAATGAGGCTGGTGCACTGTACATCTATGACAATGCCGAGGGGACCCTCAAACTCCTGAGCTTAACTCTAATGGTGGCTTCCCCCCTTATGGGAACACAGCAATTCTGGAAGTCCATTAGTATGAGGCTTGATAGCTTGAGCGAAACTCGCCTTTTGCCTTGTCTGCAAATGCAATCAAAAGTCTTGTATGAGATGATTGATAGGGCTGACCCAGTGTCTAGCTCCATGGAGTATGGGACCCCTTGAAGTTTAATCTGGAGTTTTAATTTCTTCTTGAGGGGGCGTTTGGCTCCTGTTTGTTGGATACTTCCAACCTCCCTTATTTTACCTTTCTGCTGTGGAGTCGCAGTTCACGTTTCTCATTGGCGACCTCTACAGACTCTGGCAATGTGCCCTTGCTTCCCACGGGTGCGGCAAACAGCTGTGTGGAATTTACATTCTGCCCTGTTGTGTTGTCCCCCACAGCTAGCACAGTTCTGTGGAGCCGTTGTTTGCTGTGTTGAGTGAAGCCATCTGGGGGGCTCTCTCTGCAACCGATCGATCTCATCATCTTTGTCAGTCTCCCCCGGTCCATCTGCGGTCTGGTGGTGGATCACTGCAGAGCTAGTCTGTGTTTTTGTTGGCCAGAGAGCCTTCATTGCTCCTCTGGCAGCCTCATCTGCCATGACTTCCTTCAAAGCGTCTTGGAAAGTCAGTTTTTCCATGGCAAATAGGCGCTGTTGTAGCTCTCTATTCAGCAGACTGCAAATGAGTCTATCTCTGAGGCAGTCTTCCAAATCTGGAAACTCACAGTGGCGTGAAGCTTGACGAAGTGTGACCATGAACTCAGCTGCCGATTCTCCAGACCTCTGCTCTCATTGCTCAAAAGCATGGCGCCACGCTATTATGGAGAGTTTCAGCTCAAAATGTTCTTTCAACCTTTTCTTGAGGTCTGCATATGTCACTGACTCAATGCTGGCCGGTGCTACCAGATTTTCTGTGATGTCGAATGTTACTTGCTCACATACACAGAGTAGGGTCGCCACCTTCAGGCTATTGTCTCTGACCTGGTTCACCCGTAAGTGTCTACTCTGGAGACATATGAGCTCCACTGTTCCGGGTGGATGATGTCAAACTCATTGAGTCTTCCGAGTTTGGCCATTCCAGGAGTTCTGTGAGGTCCTGGTTACTACTTTCTCTGCTACAGAAAGAGCTGTGTTGCCTTTTGGTCCTGGGACAGATCCCTCAGGATTTCTGTGCCTTCAGTGTATCTTACTGGCAGGCAGGGCGGGGACGTGGTCCCACCAGGATTCTGTCCCTGGTCTGACACCCAGTGACTTCAGCGTGCCTCCAGTGTGGCTTACTGGTAGGTGGGGGTGAGAATTAGGCTTGCCGGGGCTCTTTACCCAGCCTATTAGCCAGTGACTTCAGTCTCTTGGCTAGCAACAGCTCTCTCCTCTGCAGAATCCCACCTTCGTTACCACTATTTCGTAGGCAATAACCAGACTGGTATGGCACAACGGTATTTATTAACTCAGAACAGAACTGCTTAAAACCAGCAAAATGCTTGCAATTTATACTTTCTGCCTTTAGGGCATTAGCCAATCACAACGTTAGCTCACTCCTGCCTAAACTTGAATTTTTGAACTTCCCTCCAAAACAGTTGGAGGTTCGTTAGTATCATAATGCATTAAGATTATACTTAATACATAACAAGAAGGAAGGAAGGAAGGAAGGAAGGAAGGAAGGAAGGAAGGAAGGAAGGAAGGAAGGAAGGAAGGAAGGAAGGAAGGAAGGAAGGAAGGAAGGAAGGAAGGAAGATTTAGCTTTGGCATAATTCCTGAAATTGGAGAAACATTTGAAGATAGCCACTCTTACCCCTCAGAGAAGAGAAAAGAAAAGAAAAGAGTGTTTTCTTGCTCTAATCTAATTTTTCTTAGAATGCTGAAGCTTGGAGAACACTGTAAGTCTGTAAGGGTTTTTTGGGTGCTGTCTCTTCTAGCATAGCTGCGGTGAGATAAAACTACGCCCAGTCTATTTCCAGCCTGTATTTGCTTTGCATGCATAGAATTCATTTCAAAATCCCTTCTCTGTTTACATTAATTTCTAAGCTAAGACAGTCGATTTTTAGGTTTTATAAATAGTTGCTTTTATTGTTTTATTGTTTCAATGGCTATTTTATACTTATCCCAGAATTCGAGGACTTTATACCATTAAATTAATTTCTCTGCATATATTTTCCAATCCCTGCAGGAATTCATTTGAGCAGTTATGTGTTTTTGCCAATTTGATTCCATTCAAGTTTTTTTCAGGCCTGTTCATACAAACTTGTCAGGGAAAAAAAATCAAAGAGTACAAATATTTATATGTATTTTTGCCTGCAGTTGTTTATTTCAGTTAGAAAGAGTAAGACTAGGCACTATTAATTCTTTTCTCATGAAGACTGATCCCTTATTAAAATGAATGTAAATCTTCCGTAGATACATAAAACCCATGCCTGGAGTAGTATGTCTGAGAGTTATCTGCATAATAGTCTTACCTGATAATAATCAGAGGAATAAAATACACCAGAAAGGCAACTGTGGTCATGTAAGGAATCCAGTAAGAATCATCTGGCCAGTCAGCCCAACACTGTACTTCTCCATTGGATAGTTGACGTTTCCCAAAGATGATGAGATTGGGAATTGAAAACAAGAAAGAGAGGCCCCAGGCAATGATAATGAGAATTTTTGCCTGTCTTTCTGGTTATGGGGGAAAGAAAATCTCATTAATTTTCAGCATAAACAAAGTATCAGTGGGGATTAGAATAGTTCTCCAGAGAAATGTAATTGGCTGACTTCTGTGAAAAAAAGATAATTTAGCTGTAATTAACATAACTGTTAATTAATACCTTTTGCTTGCTAAGTATTTTATTGTAAAAGAGAATGTGTAATTAAGAAGTTATCACATTAAATTTAAATGGGATGTCTTTTCTTCATTGAGAAGTCAATCAAAATGTCTGTTATTCATTCTAGTCTTAACAGAAAGCAACAGGAACTTAGCTAATACACAAAGAAATACAGCAGAAAAAAACAAATCCAAGTGACGTTTTATATAGGAGAATCTCTAAGTCATTGTCAGCATTTAAATATGATTTGCAACCAGGAAGACTGATTCCATCTGCAAGATCTTCAGTTAAGGCAGTGTTTCTCAACCTTGACAATTTTAAGGCATGTGGACTTCAACTCCCAGAATTCCACAGCCAGCAATGCTGGCTGTGGAATTCTAGGAGTTGAAGTCCACATGCCTTAAAATTGTCAAGGTTGAGAAACACTGAGTTAAGGGAATTAGCAGGACCACTCTGCTGCTATCTTTGGAGAATAACAACAAGCCAAGCTGCCTAACTGTCAAGAAGCATACCAAATTCTTCAGTGATTTTAAACATTGTCTTGATATTTCTTTTTCAGCTTCATAACATCTCTCTGAAATAATGATGCATAGGAAGGAATTAAAGGAATTATATCAAGGGGAATTAAAGTTGCATTGGACTGCTCACATAATCAAGCTTCTCAGGCTTTCAAAAGCATAAAAACTAAATGAATAAATACGGTAAAGCTTAATGGAATGCCCTTCCCTTTATCAGATTTTGGATGCAATGGACAAGGATTTATGTCTAGACAAACCTCTAAAATAATAGATGAAGTCCAATGTATTCCAAACAATCTGAAGAATTCTTTAAATAGAAGCAAATGTCATATATTTCAATTTAGCACACATTTTGGAGGAATTAATACCATACAGAGGTTTCACTGCAAATAAATAAGGTGGGTTGTGGGTAAAACATTTTATGGATCCCTTAGAAGCTTGTTTGTCTCATCATTCATAAAAAAATAAAAGCTGTGTTGTTTCTGACCTAAAGCCCCTCTAATCCAATTCTGTTTTGTACTGTGTTCATTTGGGAGATTCAGAAACATGGATAGGAGATGACAATTTACTTTTCTTATTCTTCTGGCATCATTACAAAGTACAGCATGTGGTGCTACCTAAGACAGTTCTGTATGAATTGGTCTCTTTTTAAAACTATTTTTTTATTTGTGATACTTCAACATCTGGGGCAGCAAATTTAAAACTGTTGACAGAAATTCAGGAAAGCTGCACAGAGCAAGTAAATGGATGAGTCATTGTTTATTTCTCTACTCCGGGAAAAGATGTAGCAACTAGGATAATGCATAGAGTCAGTGGAAAGCAAATTAGATTTTGTTTACAGCTAGTCGTCATTTAGCAAATGTAACTGAGATTGGCAACTTGATCATTAAGCAAAGTACTTATTAAGTGAAAATCACATAACTATGACATTGCTTACAATTTTATTTGTTTTTCTTGCTTTACATTGTCAAAAGGACACAATCCCAAACAGCCATATGAACCCAAATGACAGGACGTTTTCCAGAACTTGACTCACACAAAAATCTGGTGAAAGGGCAAATCTTATAGTCCATTCTCCCCATTCCCCTATCCATTGGAATGCTGAACCCAGCAGTGGATAATTAGCAAGAAGGGAATTGAAAAGAAGGGATATTAACTTTCATTGGACAGGAAGGGATTACAAAAGGATAAGCAGGCACATAAAAGGGCAACACATGTAGAACGTAATGCACTAGTGATGACTGTTTCTCTAGGGGGGGCTCATAGTTGCAAGCCACAAGTCATTTAACATTTTCAGTGTGAAACTGATTTGAGCTTTGTCAGTGTGAGGCAGCTAAAAGGTTATAATCAATTACTTAAGGTCACACAGCTGAGCTTGTGAACGTGTGGTTAGCGCTTTTTAGGGATGCACTGCATTGCAGAGAAAAACAGCTTATGAAGAGATAGTTTGTTTAGGTAATCTCTCCACTCTTGGAGGAGTGGGCAGACGTAGGGGGGGGGAAGAGGCAAAACATATGTACTAACTGATTGCAATGGCAGACGTGGAACTGAGAGAGACATTACGAAGGTTGTAAATGTGAGCATTGGCTAAATAAGGATTACTGTATCTGTATTTCTAGGTTGGAAATCATATTTAAATCTTAGACCTTAAAAAATAGAGACTATCCTTTTTCCACAGTTATGATCATGATGATGTTGAGATGAGAAATTTAAACCTTCCTTTCAAACCACTAAAATTAAAATGAAGTAAACTGGCACTGATGTTGATTTCCTTGCACACTGCATCTCATGCAAAGTAGTTTTGATTACTAGGCATGCAATAAAAGCAACACTTGCTTTATCCTCTAGTAAGATACCTTTTTATTCCCTGCTGAATGCTTCTGCATCAAGGACATTGGGAAGGAAATCAAAAATAGCTTTTATTAGAGCAATTCTGTACCTATTAACCTAGACAGCAAGGTTAGTAATAAAGAGTTGTGGTACAGAATAGAACAAATAACAGAGTTGGAAGGGACCTTGGAAGTCTTCTAGTCCAACCCCCACTCAAGCAGACCGTATACAATTCCAAACAAGTGGTGTCCAGTGGCTTTTTTTTTTTTTTTTTATTGAAATTTTTCAAAAATTTTACAAATAAACATCCCCCCCCTCCCAAACCACCCCACCCTCCCCCCCCCGACTTCCCAGAACTGAATATAGGATTATTTAACAAATTTTAAAAAATAACGTTTACAATTTATAAGATAATTAATAAAAATAATAAAGGTCATAATAATAATATATATAATAATATATGTAATAATAATATGCATAACATAAGCTTTAAAATGAATAATATATACTAAGAAAGAGAGAAAAAAAAGGGGAAAGAAAAGAGAGAGAGAAAGAAAAAAGAAAAAAGTAGACGAAAAATAGACCATATATATATATAAAAATATATATATATATATAAGTAATAATACGTAAAGAGAAAAGGAAGAAAGAAAAAAGAAAAAACAATCATTACAAGTTATAAAAAAGCTAAATGATATTTTTCCATATCCAAATTATATTGTATGAAATTTATCCATTTTTCCCATACTGCAAAGAATTTCTCTTGAGATTGCTCCTTTAAAAAAGCCGAAATCTTTGCCATTTCTGCCAGATACGAAACTTTGTGAAACCACTCTTGCAAAGTAGGCAAGGATTCCTTCTTCCAATATTGCCCTATTAACAGCCTAGCGGCTGTAATCAAATTTAACATCAATATAACCTCCTTAGCATCACAATCAGTAACAATACCTAGTAAAAATAATTGCGGAGTAAATTTTACCCTCCGTTTAAAAATTCTTTGGATATTCCACCATATCTTAATCCAAAAAGCTTTTATATGCTTACACGTCCACCAAGTATGATAATAAGTAGCATCCAAATGTCCACATCTCCAGCATTTCGGCTGCAGATTAGGGTACATAATAGACATTTTCTTTGGATCAAGGTGCCATCTATAAAACATCTTATAAAAATTCTCTCTTAAATTTTGCGCTTGTGTGAATTTAACATTTCTTATCCAAATAAGTTCCCAGGTATCCATTGAAATCGTTTCACCAATATTCTGTGCCCATTTAATCATACAATCTTTAACTAATTCAGGTTCTGAGTCCAATTCCACTAAAACCCCATAAACTCTCTTAATATGGGTTGGCCTTTGATCTCTTACTTGTTTTAAAAGAACTTCATCTTCTCTGAGCCAGCCCATTTTACAATCCATCTTCCATCTGTCCACTATTTGTCTGTATTGGAACCATGAATAAGTTAAATTTTCGTGCGTTAATTCTTCCAAAGATTTTAACTGCCAATCTTGGCCATCCCATCTAAGTAACTGTGCATAAGAGACCATGTCCATATTAACCCCTTTCCTTATACCTTCTATGGCATGCCGAGGTATAGCCCATAATGGTATTTTGAAGTCACTTTTATAATACTTTCTCCACACTCTAAGCAAAGAGATTCTTATAATATGAGACTTAAAAACCCAGTCCACTTTTTTATTAAATATTAAATAGGCATGCCATCCAAAAAGTAAGTCCCAACCTTCCAAATGAAGTATTTCTATATTTGTTAAATTCACCCAGTCGCTGATCAATGTTAATACTACAGCATCATAATACAATTTCATATTTGGTACCTTGAGTCCACCTCTCTCACGAAAATCTTGCATTATTTTAAGTTTCACCCTTGGTTTTTTCCCTGCCCAAACAAATTTATTAATACCTTTTTGCCATTCATCTAAATTACGTTCATTCTTTAAAATAGGTAACATTTGAAACAAAAAAATAAACTTTGGCAGGACATTCATTTTGATAACTGCAATTCTACCCATAAGGGATAACTGTAGATTGTTCCAGTTTTTTAAATCCTTCTGTACCTCCATCCACAGCTTTTCATAATTATTTTTATACAGTTTTGCATTAGAAGCAGATAATGTGACCCCCAAATATTTTACCTTATCAACAATTTCAAAATCTGTTAAGTTAACTAAAACCTGTTTATCACCATTAGTCATATTTTTAGCTAATATTTTGGTCTTATTATTATTAATTTTAAAACCAGAAACACATCCATATTGTTGAATCAATTGTAATAATTTTACCACCGAACAGGTAGGTTGAGACAAAGTAACAACCAAGTCATCTGCAAAGGCTCTTAATTTATATTCTTTTTTATTAATTTCTATTCCTTTTATTTCTTGAGACTCCCGAATTTTAATCAACAAAATTTCCAATGTTAAAACAAACAATAACGGAGATAACGGGCATCCCTGTCTTGTTCCTTTTTCTATTACAAAAGCCTCTGACAG